AATGTTTCCTATAGTTTTCTCCAGTTTTCCCCAAAGTTTCAGCCAGATTGGAACACTCTCCGAGTTTTGGCGGAGTTTTTTCCTTTTTTGCCGACTCCCCGAATAACCCCATTATAGCTATTTTTTTAAACTCACTGATTGAACTTTTCTGGATGAACTGGCTGCATTTCAAGAGTGTGATTTCCGTTCAAAACTTCCTCTTTCCAAATTGGCACCAATTCCTCGATATCCTTATCACTATCTCCTGTCAACTTATTCTCTTTCGATGCTCTCAGCATAGTTTTGACAAGGAAATAAGATGAAGGAATGATTCTTTTGCACTTTCGAATAACTTTTTTCGAAGAGAAATCAGAGTTGAAAGCCTCGGTGAATGTAGGATACGCGAATGCTTTTGGCTCAAATCGATCATCTTCCACAGTGACAACAGTATTTGTCACTTTGGGTGCGTCGTTCTCCAAATCTACTCGATCGATGGGACCAGCAGGAGTCACTTTACTGAAAACCGTAATATTTAATTAGAGAAGAGCTAAATAATTATGAGCTTACGTCAAGAAAGGGTGGCCATCGAAATCGAAAAATGTGTATCCAACCCATCCGAAAATCGCTCCAGAGATGAAACGGATATGATTTTTGTGACAGATAGCATTTAGTTTAGCAGTTCTCTCATAGTTCTCATCGAGTACAATCACGATAGTGAATCCGCGAATAAATTCTTCAATTTCTTCATCTGACTTCGATAGAATGTCTTCCTCGACAATTGAAAGCTTCACATTTTTGTTCAAGTTCGAAAGAAATGCGTGAGCTGCCGCCCATCTCTGAAACATCATTTATAGGTTAGAAATATCCCTTCAGCGAAATTCTCACTGTCAGTGTCGTATTGTCGACTGAGGCGTCATACAAAAAGTTCGAGCCAATCTCCGCTTTCTTCACAAGATTATGATCAACTAAATGCATCTCGTCCACTCCTGCCAACGACAACGTTTTAGCTACTTCTGCACCGAGTTGTGTGCCTCCGATAATCAATACTTTAGCATTTCGGAGTCTGGAAAAGAATAATTAATGTTTACCGGAATGAGTAGATGATGGAACAAACTTAGTTTGCGCCTCCATTCCCCAAAGACGAACTTGACGATCGTAGATTTCGAGCTCTTGCTTGCTAACTTGCACATTGTCTATCTCTTCGGTCATTCTGAAATTGGGCATACGGCACCGTCAATTAATGAAACACAGATAGAGAATGTTGGACTTGAATCGCCAAAAAAGTTAAAACTAAACAATTCCAAAGTAAGTAATAACTTTATTGACCAGAAACAAATTTGGAACGGAGTGGTGAAAACACTAGGCACAGGAATCTTTCTAGCACAGGAAATCATGAAAACATTTCAACCTAATAAAAAAATCAGAAAACGGTGAGCAAGTGAGCAGAGCCAAAAGTCAGTGGGAGGGATGAGAAAAAAAAATGTAATTATAATACATGAATACATCCTAGAGGATAATTAGAGTTGGCTGAAAATAAATAAAAAATAGACAAACATAAACCTAATTGTGAAAAGACAAAATACCCGTTGAAGGATAGTTAGTTGGCGTTTTGCCATGCATACATGGGACGGTGATAAGCAGAAGTACTGGCGCCCACTCGATATGAAGGAGATGTGGCATTCGGCGAGCGGAGTTGTTGTAGCTCATCTAGAATGCTTCAGATGGGTTAGTAAAGAATCAGGGATGTGTCGAACTTACGGGTACTGAAGTTACTAGACGAACGAGATCCAGTAACACCGTTCGATATTTCTGATCCATAACCAAACGATGCGGTGGCCGAAACAGAAGGTTTCTGTTCTGATTCTGGCGTCGCAGCCGCTGTTGAACTGAGATTATCTTGTTTCACGTCGTCTCGGTCAGATGGCCGGCTCCAAGTGCAAATGAAGCCTTCTTGGCACGCAGTAACAACACAGTCCTTTCTGAACTCAAGCACTGTCAAACGATCATGAGAAACTTTCTTGCATGTAAGTGGTTCTGTAAATTGAGCGTATTAATTGGCAACTTGAAAGTGGCATACCTATGATGGGTACGTCTCTAATTCCAGGACAAGAAGGAGAGCCCAAACGTGCGACTCTGAAACGAGAATTACTTTTTTCTCATCGGATTGAACAAAATTTACATGTCAACACTGGATGCGTTGGCATTTGTTGGATTAGCTCTACTTCCTACAGCACTGGTACTTGTACTTGCGTTTCCAGAAGAGGTGAACTTCGAAAGTCCAAAAGCTTTTCTGTTGAAACGCTTCTTCTTTGGGGGCTTTTCTTGTGGTGGGGCTGGTCGATTCGCGTCGAGTAGTGGTTGCTCAGAGTTTGTGCTTGGTTCTCCGACACCAGGTGACAGCTCAGGTAGATCCTCGAGCTTTCCGGACAAGTGATCGATATCTAAGGCGGCATTTGTTGCAATAATTGTCGAATTTCGATGACGACGATGATTACCTTTGTTGAGAATTTCGTTTGTGATGTCCCACAAACATAGGAATGTATCGTGTCCCACACTTCCGATTCGATAGACGATTTCATCAGCTCGTTGTGTCACGCTGGCAGAAGCCAGTGAGTTTCGCGACATCGTCGATGTTGGTTTTGTGTACCCAAAGTTTGGATCAGTACTCGTTGATGGCATACAACGAGTATCCATTTCTCTGGAGACATCATCTAAAGCTGTCATAGAGGATCTACCATTGCTTTCTGGGTCTTTCTTCGATCTGCGCACAACGTAAGGATCAAATTGAACTTGACTGATCCAGCTTTTATGTGCCTGACCACGACAGACAACTTTCTTCTCAGCAACATCATATACGGTCAAAAGATCGTCCTCGCCTCCAGTTGCAATCAATTTTGCATCTGGACTCCATGCAAGAGTTAGTAGGCCACCTGGAAAAATTCTTAAAGTTTTCAGGTTGAAAAAAGAAACTCACCAAAATAAGATTTCATACAGGACATCAATTCTTGTGTCTCATAATTGAAAATTCGAAGAAATCCATCGTGAGAAACAGTTGCCAACATTTTCGTGTCGGGTCCAGAAAAATTGAACTGGTGAATCGTTCCACTACCAATCTGCCACCTTGTGGTGGGGTTTCGTGGATGTTTCGTTTTCCAGGAGTAAGTAGTGTAACCATATCCCTGAACAGGAAAAAACATTCTATATCCGATCAGGTCTATCGACAATACCTGCGTCTGAACATGCCACGGTGGTGACTGCGAACTACCATTCCCTGAGCTTGAGATAGCGGAAATTCTCTCATCGTAAACGTACAGGTTTCCTGATACATGAGACGACAGGAAAATATTCGGTTCGCCTGCAAGTATTTTTTCTCGTGGAACACTTCCTTCTTTCTTTCACTAACCAGGAAGGAAGCGAAGACATGTTACTGCCGTTTTCTCAATGTACCGATCTTCGTTATATAGTTTACTGGAAGGTGTAGCAGATATTTTGTCTAGGGGATCGATGATCTGTAGTTGGCCAAGTGTAAATCCTATGAGTAACCTGAAAAAGATGTGATAAGGAACGTGGTTGTTTAAAATAACAAAGAATACCACAGCTCGTAGTAAAAGTACTCACTGGCTTGTTGATGCTGATGATTTTTCTTGATTAAAAATGTGGCAAGATGGGGCAGTCCCTTTGTAAACTCTTTTGTCGATTGGTCGAGTCAGATCCGTCTTGGTCCGCGTACCCCTGAAGCTGTTGTTGACAGTGAGAAACGACGTCGCTCGATGATTACAAACCTGTACGCATACATATAGAGTTCCTTGCCGACATTGAAGCAAATAATAGACTTCTCGTTTTCCTCATTCTGCAAGGACGAAAAATAAGTCCTTTCAGCAATAGAAAGGACAAGCTTACTTGGCTACGCATCATAGGAGACCCGTTTTCATCTTGTTTATTCGGGTCATAAGAGGAGGAGCATTCCACGGCTACGTCAGGTTGGATAACATCTCGAGATGAAAAATCAAGGAAACTGACACGAACGGTCGAACTTGCGCCTGCCATCTGATTAGCCGCCGCCACAAGTCCTGGTGGAACTTGGTAGTGTGAAAGAGGTTTGGGACGGGATATTTCTGCGTGCTTGACTGTTTGATATACTCCGTCTTCGATAGCGAATATTTTTTTGATTTCTCTCTCTTCTCGTCCCGGTTGAGCGTGTTGCAGAAGAATACCTGGAAAGTCAAGCTATTTCGAAACAAAACGATTGAGAGGGGGTAACTAATCTGTTTCCAAAATCTGAAAAACATCTTTTCAAATTCTGGTCGGTATTTTTATCGCGGAATAAATAACATCATAGAAACAAATCGATTCGAATCTATATTCGAAAATTCTTTTCCATGAGCAGTTAAAAAAAACCAAAAATGTGGATTTGTTTCTTCTTTTAAAACAAGCCGAAGAAGCCCCAGCTGGATGCAACACATTCATAATTTTGAAATCACTTACAATCGTTTTGTGAAGGTGGATACGCAGTATTGAGATTACCACCTATTCCAGACGTCGCCGGTCCTAGACTGTTCTGATGCATTATCGAGTAAAACCAGGCTGAAAAAGGAAGATTGATTCGAGGAAATACAATCACTTTGTAGCTCTTCATTAATTATTGCGAAATTGAACACAAATAACCAGCACAACAATGATACAAACCTTATTTTTGAGGTTAATCGCGACATTCCGCATTTCAAGCCCGTCTGCTCATCTTATTTTGTGTCAAGTAAACTGTTGCAGTCAATAATCTGGAAATGGTGCTTGCAAATATGTTACCCAATTTTAAAACTAGTAGTACTCAATAAAAACTGAGGAAAGCGCTATTCTGAAGATTCTTGTGATGAATGTATAAATGAGAGCTTTTCAAAAGGCAAATTCGAAGGCCACAACCTGTCAAGCTTGGAAGTTTATGAAGTTTCGCTGAAGGCGTCGCGGCTCAAAACGCATCGCCGGTACGAAAGGGCGCGCTTGCATGTGCTTGCGTGTTTCGCCGGAGACCCCGCAAATTCCCGGGGAAAGAGAAAACCGGGGAAAAAATCGGGGAAAGTGGGCGGAGTCGGGGGCGGAACCTANATTGCAACCCTGGCACGGTTTTGCCGCACGGTTTTTTCTCGACTCCGCCCATTTTCCCCGGTTTTTTTCTCCGATTTTTTTCCCCGGTTTTTTCTTTCCCCTGAATTTGCGGGGTCTCTTTTCGCCGAGACTCCGCAAATTCCGGGGAGAAAAAATTACGGGGAAAAAAACTCCGGAGAAAAGTGGGCGGAGTCGCGGGCAGAGCCTAAATTGCAACCCTGGCACGGTTTTGCCGCACGGTTTTTT